CCCCCCCCCCATTTTTTTTGGAGGGAGGAACAATTAAGAATGAAAAGGGGGAATCACAAGGCTCTGCTGGACAGATTACTTTCGTGAGTAATGGAAGTAAGAACAAGGAAGGCCAAAAGAACTGAAAATGCAAACTGGAAGAATTAAATTGGGGCTTAAGGAGTGATGGGTTGGAAACCCAAAGGATCTGTTTTTCCTCCACAACGTGTGGGATTTTCCCACTTATGTCCTGATTTAGGCCAGCCTAACCCTTTGGCAATGCCTCTTAGGGATTTCTGACAATGGTGCTGGTGTTCATCTTGGGGAACTTTGGACCGTATTGCGATTGTGATGGTTCTGGGGTGTTCCTTGAGCTGCTCTCCCCCAACTGATGCCTTTAGGACACGTGTTGTTCCTACAACCCCAGGACGCCCCAGCATGTCCAAAAAAAAGGCAGCTGGTTGGGGAAAGTTGCTTGCCACATGGCACAACCCCCAAGGGAGGGAGAAACCTGAGCCCCGAAAAACAGTCCAGAGAAACAAAGAGAAATGGGTGGAGTGACTCCACACAAGGGACGGGGGGTGCAGTTAAATCAAGGTTATCTTACACCAAAACAAATCAAGGTTCTCTTATACCAAGGTTGTGCTTATTTCTCTATGCCGCCCCCCTTCCAACAATCTACCTGCCCCTCTGGAGAAAGCCAGGCCTCCTGATATGGAAAAGGGCGAAGCGGCCCGGGTTCGAGCCCAAGCGGGAAGCGGTGGGTCTCCCCGCCAAGCCCTAGTGCTGATTGCTCATGCCATAGTTTGAACTCAAGACTAAGCAGCTGCCACGGGGCAGGATGAAACCCTTCTCCTTCACCCACCATGGAAGTATACGGATATTTGGTTCATGCGCAAAGCAACTCCTCTTTGCCCACCCCGCCCCGTACAAGGCAGCAGCTGGTGGGAGGCAGGCGGGGGGGACGGGATCCACAGAGGAGCAGGAGAGGGGGCAGTCTGATGGGACAAAAGCGAGCCCAGTCCCGGGCGCCAATGCGTCCCTACGCCCGGGACTCCTTCTTGGCGTTGGGCTTGTTCCCCAGAAGCGCATCAATTTCCTGGACGACTTGTGGGGTCAGCTGGGTTAGAACCTGTAAAACGAAAAAGGAGGACAGTGTGAACAGGGAGGAAGCTCAGGGGCATGGCTCGGTCCTCTCTCCGGGGCCCCCGACATAACATCTGTATTGTTACAGCTGCCACCTCGGTGGCTTAGAGCAGGGATCCCGGCCTCTGAAATGTCATGGGTGCAGTCACAAGTGGCCAGGTGGGCCTCCAGCCCAGCAGAACCCCAGATTGCGGCCCCCCACCCTTATTATTCTCTAAGCACTTCTGCAAGGCTTGGGTGGTCTCCAGAGATGGCTGGAGGCTGGTATTTTCTGGCATTTTTACCTGTTTGCATTAAAACAAACTTGAATGGTTGGAAAAACTCAGGTGGAGCTGGTACATGGGTGGCGTGGGGACGTACTGCTCCCACCAACAGCCCCTGCCGTTACGGGGTTAAATGCTACCCCCCTCGCTCACTGAGCGATTCATCACCAGATCTCTGGCCTCCTCCGACTCACCTGGATGGATCCGAGGTTCTCAATGAGCTGTTCAGCACTAGAGACCCCCAGGAGCACGGAACTGACCCCTTCAGAGCGGAGACACCAGGCTTTGAGAAAGAGGGCCCAAAAATAGGCCAGAAAGGAACAGGTTTAGCAGCATCTTCCAGTATGGTGTCCCCTCCTCTCTAAAGGTGCTGTGTGTGTGTGTGTGGGTGTGTGTGTCTGATAATTCCCTCTCATCTCCAGTCCATTCAGAGCCACTTTTCTGTATGTCACTTCTTGCTGTGAATGTTCTCCAGGGACTGTAGAGAAACTGTTTTTCCAACCCAAGAGGGTCGCAGCTGAAGCATCAGAAACCAAAATGTCTCTGTTCTGTTTACCTTCATTTGTCTTGGATGTTCTTGGGTACCACCGTTCTTATACATTTTTCAATTTCCCAATCTAAACTAGAACCGTGGCATTTCCTGGTGGCCTCCTATCCAAATGCCCAAGTCCAATCTTGCTTAGCTTTTCAAGAATAGCCAAAATCATTAGGCGACTCCTGGAAATGACATGGCCATGTGACGCTCAGCAACAGCACAGAAGTAGCTTGCCACTAATGTCTTTGGGGATTTTTTTACATTTTCCTATCTAGCCCACCACCCTGGCGTTTCCTAGTGGTCTCCCATCCCAACAACTAACCAGATCTGCCCCACAGTTACCATCAACCCAGCAGTTAGAAACCTCATTCCAATTTCCAACTGATAATGTCCAACTAGTGGCTGTTAACCTTCATTGTTGCCTTTGACTTGAATAATCGGTCTCCCTTTCTTTCTCCTACGTTTGTTATTATTACTGTTGTTACTATTCTACACCAGAGCTGTGCAGCACTTTGGTTTCAAAGGAAAAAGGTCCTCAAAGCACGCTGGGCCACGAATGCAGCCCTGCACAATCCCCGGAAAAATGACGTTTGGTTTAAGGAGCTGCAGAAAGGTGCAATTCCGCTCCGGTGTTTTCCATTTTGCTTCCCAAAGAAGTATCGAGTGATGTGATAAAAATGGCAGTGCAAGATAATCCAAGGGCGGCGTGCCGTTGCACACCCCTTCAAACCATGTGTCTGTATCGAAAGACATTAACCGATTCAGCACTTTGCTTGAAGGAGGTTTCATCTGGGGGCAGCCGTTACCCTGAAAATGCCCGGCCAGCGATGCCCGCTTTGGGCTTTTATCTGAAACGACGCTGTGCATCGTTCCCCTTAGATGGGAGCCCCCTTGAGAAGGCCTTATCTGAGTCCCCTGGAGGGACGGTACCTGGCCGCCTTGGAGTCTTGCCCCCCAAATACACACAAATGCACACAGAGGTACACAGCCCCCTCCTCCAGAGTCCTCACCAATGGCCAGCTGTGCCACAGTGCACCCCAGGCGTTCGGCAATGGGCTGGAGCTCCTTCACCTTGCTCTGCTGCTTCTTCCCGTCTTCACTCTGCAGCTTCTCCTTCAGCCATTGGTACCCCTGGAAGGGGAGCAGGGAGCAAAGACACGTCACGGGGGGGGGCTCGTGGTCCAGGAGGCCATGACTTTCAGCCACGCCACTGAGCAGCTGTTTAGAACAGAACATTCCCACGATCCCTTCCCAGTATTAAAATGATCCACCAAGTTGATGGGTAAGTAGTGAGACTCAAATACAATTCAGCCTCAGCTGAAGACAACATTTGGGGTAGGGGGAAGGAGAGATTAACTGAGCCCCAGACTTTATCCTCACTTCTGGGTCCAAACTTGGAAAAAACACAGAGAGAGTCCAAAAGGACCTTTGGAGGCAGAAGGCCAAGAAGGCAAATGTTGCTGGGAATTTTGCCCCGTCAATGCCGCCTTCCCCTACGTGGTGCCTCCCAAGTGTGAAGGACATGCAGCTCCCAGAACCCCAAGAGTTGGGGGGCACCAGTTGAGGATGGGCAGTAGGGCCCAACCGTTGCGAATTCCAGAAGTATGGACCAACTCCCAGAATTCTCAGCCTTGGCCTTGCTGGCCAGGGGACTCTGGGAGCTGAGGTCTCCACACCTAGAAGTCAGCCTTCAACGATTTTCCAGAATTCTCAGCAAGGGATCCTGGGAGTTGAAGTCCACAGAGCTGGGAGCTGCCTAGATTGGAAAACCCCACTGGGAGGGACTGCGTTGCGTTTTGGCAGGAGGGCAGCTGCAGTCCGGAGTGGTTGGGACCGTACCTTCATGGCAGCCCGGCAGTTTTCGGGCACTCGCTCCTCGTATTTTCCTGTGATAAGCCCACACGCCAGCGGAGACCAAGTTATGGCTCCTACTCCTGAAGAAGGTGAACAGGGCAGGTAGTCAGGAGAGACTCTCACCGAGTCTTCGGGTATCACCCACACCCCACCCTGCAGGCTTGGCCCCTCCCTCAGGCCTGCTGTGTCCCCAGAGCAAGGGGCCCTCCAGACCCTCTTAGGAAAGGGGAAGCCAATTGCAAAGCCCGGAAAGACACACAGCTGGGCTCCTTCGGTGCTCAGCCTAGGTCAAAGCACAGTTGCAGTGTTTAGATGGGGAGGGGGGCAAGGAAGAGCCTTATCATGCAGGCACAAGGTCCTCGGGGGGGGGGGGAAATGGGACAGAAGAACAGCGATCCATTTGGGCCGTTCCACGGCTTGCTCTCGTTCACCTTTCCAAACCCAACAACGCAAAGCCCACCTCCTCGGGTTTCGCTGCCTCCTCCACCTGCCGTTCCTTAGGTGTCCAAGCTGCTCTCCAGCCGCACGTTTGATCCCCCTCCCCAGTCCTGCACAGCAACCCACCTCCGCTGCCCCCCAAGCCCCCCTTTCTCCCTCTTCATACCAATCTTGTGATACAGCTCTGGAAGCTGGGTCTCCACCTTTTCCCGCTGGAACATATGATATTCTGCCTGTTCGCACACGGGAGGAATGAGGTTGAACTGTCGTGCCACAGAATAGGCTTCCTAGTCCCAGAGAAGGAAGAAGGAGAAGCGAGAGGAAATTGGAGAAGAGAGAGGGACCCCTTTTGAGCCAACCTCTGCTGCCCCCAGAAAGTCAGAATTTACCATAATCTCCATGGCGCTCCAGCGAGAGGTCCCCCAGTACATGGCCATCCCCTGGTTGATCACGTAGGTCATGGCTCGGACAATCTCTGGCCGGGAGAACAACAAAGTAGAGAGACCAGCACTAGAGGATCTTCTCCCTTCACCTCTTCCTCCTATTTCAAAGACTGGAAGCCTTTCACATGGTCAGAGAAACAGGTTGGGACGGAGAAGGGAAGCAAAGGCAAACAGCGTGATGGGGAACGTCATCTTTGACGGTCCATTTTGTTCCGTTTCAGCTCCAAACTCTGATGGGAATCATATCCTGACGCACAGAGAGCAATTTAAGAGTGTTCCCCAACATGGGTAACTTCCAGATACGCAGACTTCAAATCCCAGGATTCCCCAGCATGCTGAGCATCCTGGGAATTGAAGTTCCCCCATCCAGAAGTTGCCCATGTTGGAAAACACTGATTTAAGGCAGTGTTTTTCAAACTTGGCCATTTTAAAATGTGTGGACTTCAACTCCCAGCAATCTTAAAGTTGCCAGGTTTGAAAAACACTTATTTAAGTGATCCGTCCAAAATCTACAGCCTGAATATAAATGTTATATGTAGGGAGTTTGGAAGGTGGCCATTCGGCGGGGACCTCTGAGAGAAGGAGGGAGGGGTGTCAAAAAGTCAAGATGGCAATCGCAACTGCGTAGTCTGACCTTCCACCTTCACTCTTTTGATCTCCTTTGTGGACACCTCTGCCTTGTGGCAAACCCACACCCTTTCTGGGAAATTGGATCCCTTGTCCAAGTTTGTACCTAGATCAGCGGTAGAAGGTCCTCACAGACAGGGAGTCCATGCCCAAACCAAACATGGCTTGTTTTGTTTGTAGCATGTTCTGAGAACCCAAGCATTGTGGTTGATTCAGTGAACCACAGTTGAAAAGAAAAGAAGAATCCAATGTATGAAACTAGCCCATCAATAATTCTTCATTGCCACATTATATTTTCAATTTGGAATCACCTAACTGAAGACGGGCTAAGCTTTTTCATCCCTTTGCATAAAGCAGTGTTGTCCAAACTTGGCCACTTTAAGATGAGTGGACTTCAACTCCCAGAATTCCCCAGCCAGCATGGCAG